ACATAAGTTTTCAGTAATCTCCTTGAAGATCAAATATCACGATAAAGAAATCTATTTTTTTTATATTTCTCTCTGTGTTAGCAACACAATTTACTTGAAGTAATAAATCATCTTTATTAAAGGCTCTTCAAAGGAATTTCGCTTCAACCTTAGAAAATATACTGTATTATTTCTTATGATAAAAAGAATTTTATGTCCGATATATAAAAAGGTAGTTATAAAAAGATATTTCCAAATCTATATTTTATTGATACGGTATACATATGTATGTCTATATGATTCTTATTTTCCAATTGTTTGATACGTAAAAGAAATAAAGATGTAAACGAATGGACTTATTAATGAAACTTACATTTATGAAAATTTAACCATATTTTATTTAATAATATTCTTATTCAAAAGATATTCATAATCTCTTTTGATAAAAGATTGTATATTAAACTAATCAGAATTCTAAGTGTAACATTGCTTTCACCTTATCCTTGCCTTGAAAAAGTCTTTTGAGAAGAAATTAAATTACCACCAAAGTGAAATAAAAGTCATCGAAACCTTTAAGTTCTAGCAAAAAATAAAAAATTTGTTACGGCAATGTTCTTAATTCACTTTAGTAAAATGTTTAATAACTTTTCAAGCAGTATGAGATTTTTGAATTTTGAATTTATTAAGTAGTGGTAAAATGTCATTTCAACGTTTCTTTTTGTAACCATTAGAACTTTGGCAGTAAACATAAATTGAAGATAAGGTTTTGATGAAAACCAGTTGATTTTGAAAATGTTACAATGATGTAGAATCACATCAGATTCGGTAACGATGGCATGAGTCCTCTATTAATTTAACGACAGCCAGATAGAAAAGGCTGAGTTGCTACTGGAATAACATTGACATATCTACTATATCTTATCTTAGAAACTTTTTTTAAACAAATACTCACTTCTTATGAAAGTCAGTCGACATTTCTATTTATATGTATTAAAAATGAAATATGCAGTTTATTCTATATTGTAGATCAAATAGCTATTGAAAAATGTTATTCATTTTTGTTCACAAGTTGTCTTCATCAATCGAACTATTACGGTATGCATTTAAAATAGTTATATGTTTCATTTTTTCATATTGTTGGAGCAATTTACTTTAATTTGTAATCTGTTAAATAATGGTGCAAGACGCAAAGTCATCACACGTTATCTTATCACCTCAAAGATATTTAAGACCAACATAAACACAGCGCAATCTTTTTTTATGTAAATTGTGTTTTTTTTTAAGTGTCGAATTCTTTTTAAATAAACTAACATTTACTTACTGCTATTAGTGATAAAAAAATAATAAACATGTAGACTTTCATTACTAAAGTGGACATTAGTTGAAAATAAGGATGTTTATTTTTAACATAATTGTTAAAAAACATTAATCTCAAATTATTGATATCTATCTACCAACTAGAAGCTATCCCTGCCTTATAATTTTGTTCTATATATTATACCTTAAGAGACGAAACCTCTTATTATTTTCACCGTGCAGGTGCCGGCTCCATCGTTGCAGTGAGAGGAACTTCAACAGTGTCTGGGGCTTGAGACCCAGGTGTAGGTTTAAGGGACCCCGTATCGTTAGATGACGTGCGTGAGCACGTTGAACGCTATATTAAAACAAAAATGCTTACGGAATCATCAAGTCGTCTCTTCGTGTATATTGTATAAGTAAGTCAAATTTGTTGACAGCACACTCTGCTTACTGGTAATGCTATTTAAATTAATATTCACTAAGGTTTTATCCCAAATTTAATCGATCATTTGTATTCTTGTACATAAATAAAAATCTTTAAAATATATATCGAATTTTCAGAATATTTAGTCCTCTTTTAAATAATATCTACGCAACATATTGTCTCGTTTTATTTTATTTCTCTGTAACAGTAATTACTTAAATTATTGAATCTCAAAAAAATTATAGCATTGAAAATGGTCGAAACATTGCTTTACATGTGTGTTTTTTAACCATCAATTAAATAAAAATACCCATAGTATTTCACTCCTTTACGAGAAATCAATTGTTTATTGAAAGCAACAAAATTATCATTTAGAAGATGAAAAATAACGAGATTAAGATTTGAGAGTCAATGGTTGTCTTAATTTCATTATATTCTACAAGTTTCACATTACTTCTACGTTCTTGTTTATAGCATTTGTAAAAGGATTAATGTTTACATATATTTTTTTACTATTGCTTTGATTCATATTTTGTATTTCAAAAAGGAACAAGGAATATAAGCTTAGAATATTATATTTGTTTTTAGTAATAAACCAGAGAAAAAAATATGACTAGAATAATAAACAGTGACTGAGTATTTTTAAGTACATGAGTCTTTTTTATATTTTTACCATTTGTAGCTTACAAAATTGTGAGACGATCTTTTTTCAAACCTTAAAATATATTTTATTCCTATAAGTATTATTGTATGTATATACTTTTCATATTATTATATCTTTATTTCTTGCTGTCAATAATTTGAACTGCGAACAATTTGGTCTGTAACATGTTATCGATGCTTGAGGAAATTGCTCTTTCATCACTGTAGGCGGCAAGAGCTAGCGATTTCTAAAAATAACTGGTTAGTCTACTGACAAAACCATCTTTATAATATAAATAATGAATTATGTTTTTGAGCTCGGGAACTAGGACACCTCATACATTTGTATAATATTTTAAATTTATATCATGGAAAAATTTATATGCAAAATATTTTTTTTTCTCGTGTTGAAGGATAAAGAAAAGGCCAGGTGAAAAAGACGATTTGAGGACAATTTATTAGAAGAAAAATATTATCGGCGATGAATTTGGAAACAGAAATATTTATGAATATATAAGTATTATAAGTTTAAAATCTTATACATGTACAAAATATGTATGTTTCTTATCTTCTTCTTCTACCTGGCAATTTCCCGGCTTTAGCCAGGGTCTGTCTTACATGTTGTGAATAGTTTTTCCTAATTGTTTTTACAATCGGTCGCCTGCCTGACATCAACTCTCTTTGGGAATGCATTAATCAGTGATGTCTAAATACTCTTAGAAAGTAGATATGACCGAAAAAATCACATTGGTACTTGCCAGGATCGAACCCGCGCCTTCATGTACGCAAGGCGGTCCTTTTAACCACTAGGCCACCACTGACTATGTATGTTTCTTATATAAGATTTTATTTGTGTTATTCAAAGCAGTATGGGCAAAAAATAAAACGATCTTTCAAAAAACATTGAAATCTATATTCAGTATTCTAGAAACAACATTCAAGTGACTTAATTAAAAATTCTACGAAAGAAACTATATTATATTACACTAAATCGCAGAAAAACTTAAACAATCTTCAGCATTTACATAGAAGCAATTATTATCAACCAGAATTCAATCTACAACAAATGTGTAATGTTCATAACATTTCTAATAACGCTGCTTACTTCACATATTTTTATATTAGCCTTTCATCATTGGTACATTTCAATAATTTAAAAATAAAAATATTCCCATTAAAATTATGACAAAATGAATTTGCTTATGATATGTTTTGTTTGACGATAAAGAAGACATGTGAGTATGTGATAATGTTCATAAATAAAATATATTAAAAAATATTATTATTTTTTTAAATACAGCAATAACTTTTACATAGTAATTAAAGCTAAACTTGAATTTAAAGCTTTTAGAACTTACAATACAACAAACAATTTAAACACAAAGGATGAAATTACTCAAAATACAATTGATGATTTATAAATTGTTCACATGGTCTATCAACAATAGAATGTGCTTTAAGGATAAGCGCTTTTCTATATGCTTATATAAAAAAGCGTAATCTGAATAACTTTGTATAAGGGATAAGAATAAACTGTTAAATAATTTTAAATATTGAATATTTCCGATCATAATAAAAAAATAGTAATTTCGTATTTCGTCTAAACCCTCATTGGAAATTTGTTTGTTTAAATATTAAAATTATTTCAAATAATTACAACAGTTTGAAAACTAGGACACATGAAATGTGGAAATCGTTTTCTAATCTTATATAATCCTCCGACTTTCCTCACAAAATTGCATATCATAGACACCGAAGACAATTTCGAATACAATAATGATATCGTTACAAGCAACACTTATCTCAAATATTAAAACGTACAAAAATCTACTCTAACAGCAATATGGACGTGGAACTAAGTGTGTGGACCTCCGTAATAAGTATTGTCCATCATTGTGCATATCAGTATTAAAATACTTTACGTATTTATATCACAAATAAAACATCGATTCGTCAAACGTCCCAAAACCCTAACGTCATCCAAAAAATCGCTAAACAATTTTGAGCACATCAAATATATTCAAAATGTTATATCTATTTATTATATTTTTATAGAAAACATCGATTTAATATTTATTCTATATTATGTATATGAAACACATTGATATATGTAATGCTTGTTATATATAAGTAAATATAAAACCTTTATCGCCGTGTCCATAAACAAGGAAGAAGAGCGTCTATGCCTCACTAATTTCCAATCTTTCCTACTGTTATCCAAACGCTACATTTTAACATTATCACAGGCTTTTCACGCTCTTAACCCTGGGGGTCATTCATTGCACCTTAGTTCAACGATTTCAAATAATTTTCTAGTTCTTATTATAAATTTATTAAAACGAACTTTGTTCCAATTACACTAAAAATATCGAGATAATAATATTCATCCTATGTTAGTGTATCTTTTTGTTTAGTAATGTATTTTGAATTTGAAGTTCACTTAATAATTTCAAAAGTCTTTAGTATGTAGCTTGGTTTTCACCGCAAGCCAGTAAGGGGTTCAACAAGACGCTTTTTAGACCGGAAAGTGTTCCTTAGTAACATGTTTGACCAAGTATTTGTTTAATTTTCATGTTATGTATTTCGAACTTGATTCTTGAAGGGTGGCAGTCACCTAACAGTCGTGCGGCCACCTGGATGGGTGGCCGGCCACGGATCACATGACACAACAACTTTTCGCTCTTCCCTTCAGCTCAGCTTTCAGATCGCGTTTGCTCTTGCTGCGTCCAACTTGCTTCTATCAAAAATAATATATATAAACAACAGTAACTTATACAATAATAAAATAGAATAAAAGTGAATGAAACTTATAAGACATCAAGGGAAATACAAATAGATATTTGTCAAACAGTTTTATGAAATCTGAAAGGATAATGAATATTTTATTTGTCCATGTATCACCAACCTGTTGCTTTATTTGTTGTTTATTAAGTTTTCCAAGGGCCGCTAAAGCTGCTACCTCGAAGGCATCCTTCACACCCTTGCTAGATGCTCTAGCTGACGTCTCTACATACGTTGTCGCACCAAGCTGTCTCGCTACTGATAGAGCCTGGGAGAATTTATAATTTATATTTTCACGTCAATAATAATAATACAATTTATTATTAATTATTAGTACTAAGTTTACGTTTTTCCAATTAAATATTCTTTAATATGAAAAAATAATAAAATAAATTTCAAAGAAGAAATCTTAAATTTAATTTCCAAAGTATTTGACATCAAAAACACAATAGACAAACATAGTCTATAAACTTTACGATATTTAAAGTAAAAGAAAGATACCTTTTATTAATTTTCAGTGATGAATAAAAAAATAACTATGAAAAAATTTTCTAAAAATACATTTAATAAAGATTGAGTTAGAACTCGGTTAAATAGGCCTTGAATTAATAGAACATTGTCCCATATTGTTGCTTACAATTGGACGAACGAATAACGTTGGAGTAATATCATAACTATTTGTGAAGAGGATAAATTAATACTGAAATTCTTTAACGAATTTAAAACAGCAAGACTACTTTTAAATGTTATTAATATTGAAATGTATTATATATTGTTGAATTGAAATAAGTCCTTATATTACTATTAAACCAATTCATTAGAGAATTATTCTCGTCGAGTGATGATATAAAAGTGATAAGTACGTAACAGTATAAAGAAGCTTCTTGATATGAAATGAGTTGGTGCAAATAAGGACTAAAAATTAAAGAATTGAAATTATCCAATGAGTTTGTTTACAAGAACAAAAATATAAATGAAACTAATATCTTTCGGATTACTACTACTAGATGTATCGTTTATTCGTGATCACGGTTGCTTTTCAGCAATCTTAGTTTCAACAATTGTAATGGAAATGTCGGGAGCATGTAGTGTTTTAAAATAATAAAATACGCGTATCAATCCGAAAAACATTAATTTCAATTAAATGAATACTCGCGAGTCTTAGATCTTATTAATAAATATATACCTCTTCACTGGTGACTGGGTGAGTTCTGAGCTTGGACAGCATGGTGAGGGTTTCTTTGTCGTGTCTAAGATCTGCTTTACATCCACAAAGTAAAACAGGAGCTGAACCTCCATGAGTCCGCACTTCTCTGTACCACTGGAATCATATATTACATTATTAATTATAAATAGATTTATGTAACTTGTACAAGCAAAACATTTGAATATTTTCTTTATCGAAAGTATAATCAAAAGCAAAATTTTAATTAAAATATAATAACGTTGTTTATTCAAGGATAATGTGAAGGTAAATTTAGAATTCAAAGTCCATAAGCGGAATATTTTACTTCAGAATTTAATTCCCAAATATTTTATAAGGAATTCAAACCTAATGGACGATGGCTAAGGATTTTAATATTATATTTAGATAATTTAATAACTCAATTTACAATTTGTTTATATTTATAAGGTGGAGTTAAAAAAATTATGGAGAGTATTGAAGAAACAATTCGCATTTTGTTTACCATTAGTACTGTTATTCTACTTTATTCATACCTTTGCAGCTGAATTATTTAAGGTCTCTGGTTCAGCTATGTTGAAACAGATCATAAATATCTTCGCATCCTGATACGCCAGGGGCCTGACTGTGTCGTATGCTGTTGTTCCTGGCAATAAAAGTTAATAATACTTAAAAATTATGAAATTTTTAAATAAAATTGCAACAATTCAATGGTATGATCTTTAATTTCTTTAGATAGAATACTTTTGGGCATAAATTCAGTGCAGCTAGAGTACTTAAAAAGACATAGGGACTTCTATGATCAAATTAAGGTTGTAAATATGACCAAAAATAAATATACTGCCGAAACCCGGGATTGAACCGGGGACCTTTAGATCTTCAGTCTAACGCTCTCCCAACTGAGCTATTTCGGCGACAATTGTTCGCTTTAAAGTATTATTCACATACTATAAAATAATTAATTTATCTTATGATAATGTTTTATGATAATTTAATTATAATTAGATAAGAAATAAAAAATATATTTGTATTGTAGTTTATATAATAAATTTAAATCGTATTGTCATTTTAAATGGGAACGTTTCTATATAAGTCAGTGCGTGTCGGCGTTCGTTGATGTATGAATTTTTGAGTGCTTAATTTGTGTATAGTTTTGGAAAGACTACCAAATAAATTTGGATTATTTCTAGTATGTATTTAGAAATAGTGCTGTTAAAATATAGGTCAAACATTGTTTTGTGTTGGTTAAGTAAAAACGATTCTATATAAAGTATAAAATATTTCCTATTTTTTAATAAATCGTAAGCCATTACGTTAAGATTCAAAATGTAATGAATGTTACATTGGTTCAGCATATTTTAAGCTATGGTATGGATTAAAACTAGTTCTATTTATGATATTTATTAAGGCAATGTAAACAAATATATAAAAAGACGTATTGAATGTGTGATACAACAAAACATACCAATTGCAATATTACAAAGATAATTTGATTGTAGGACATTTTTTTGGTAATATATTGAGGTAATAGGAAGGGCTTAGTTGTGTTACCATTTATATGAATTTACTAAATATACTAGATATTTCAAACAATGAAAAGTATACAAGAAGAATATTATATTTAAAAAAAAAATGACGTAAAAAAAATTATTTATTAGACAAATATATGTATACTTCATATAGTAACGTGAAAGAAAAATGTTGTAGAAGTAAAACCTCTTATTTATAGAGAAAACTTCTAGAAAATTCTTTTATTGGTTATTTTTCTATTATTCTTATGTAAGTGTTTATTTAACGTCCAAGAAAAGTTTGTGTGTTAACCCTATTAACTATTTGCGGGAATGAAACTTTGGAACACAAGATCAATAAAGACTTCGATTGTTGGGCCACAATTACGTTTATTTGTTCTTTATTTGGAAGTTATTAGTATGAATAGAATTTATTTTTAATACATATTATTTCTGTATCTTTTTATGGTTTATAAGTCGTTTAGTAATCCGGATTAATCTTCATAAATATGAGGATATGACCATTTTATTGACAATCCAATTCCTACACTTTTCAGAATCTATAAGATCTCAAGAGCACTTCGGAGTAATACAAGTATTCTCTATAATAAATGTAGATAATCGATAGCAATTCTGTCATTTCATTCAATTTAAAATTTGAAATTGGAACGATTTTTTTTACGTTTACTTAACAGGTAGAAAGTAATATAAAAGATGATATGATAAGATGATTTAGAAGTTCTTAAATATTTCGATGTTGAAGAGTAAAATAATTATATTGATGGTTTTTTATGACCAAAAAGTTAAAAAAAATATTATAATCATAAAATCTTACCTGAGGTATCCCAAACAGAGAAGTTAACTTTATAATCGGCTACAGTACACGTGTACCCATACTTCTCAAAACCAGTTGGAGTGTAAGCCTGAAACAAAATAGTTATAAATATCACTACAAAATAATTTTTACACAATTTACATACACATTTACACTTAACGCGCTTTAGATTAAACATTTTATCAGGGTAAATAAAAAATAAGCGTTAATGTTAACATTTACAGAAATCTTTGCTTTAGCAAAGATTTCTGTAAATATTTATGATGAAGTGACACTCGAAGAAATTTTGTACTTGTGGCAATTTTATTACTTTTAGGGACAGTCTGTTAAACATCTTTCAAAAATTTCATTTCAATATTACTCAATTAACATTTCAGTGAAAAGAAATAGCCAACGTCTTAACGTGGCGATTAAAAAGATTTCTTTGAAAGAACGAATGAATGACGTGCCCTGGATTTGAAAAACTCTTCGCTGTAACGTAAAATCATATATATTAAATTTAATTTAAAATAAAAAGTAAAATTTTTATTTACGATGTTATAGAAAATTTATTAAGTTGACTTTTTCAGAGTTCCTCTTTATGCCATAAAAAAATTATGCTTAGAGTACTGTAAAATAAATTTACATCAAATTCTTTAAAGACAATTAGATTAGATAATTTAAACTTGTTTGTGTACATTTATTAATTTATTAAGGAGTATTGATGAGTTGAGATTATAAAGTAAGAAATTGAATAATTAAAATAATGAAATAAGGTTAAAAAATTGTTTCAAGAATTATTGAATCAAGGTACACATCTACAAGTAGGACCCTAGGATTTTCGATCGTCGGCATCCATATCAAGAGGAGAAGAGATTTACTGTGTCAAAGTATTCTTGAAAATTAAGAAAGAGGGGTTATAATATGCCACCCAGCGGAACTCGTGCAAAACCTAAAGCATATGATGGTAAAAATCATTTAAATGAAACTAAGTTTTTGGAACAACTAAGCGTTGTAATTATTTTATTTCTATATTTACACTCGTCCTTGTAAATACAATAATTAAATGCGTACTTTTGTAGTTAATAATCAAAAACAAACTATAATAAATTAGGAACTGAAATGTTGAATAAATCAAATATAATACTTTTTGTCCAATAAATCGATAAATTGTGACGTTCTCAAATATCGAATATTTAATTCTGTGTTAAAATATATATGTACGTTAAATGTAGTTAATACAAAAATTATATAGGTCATCAAATAATAAAAATACAACTACTCGCACTTTATAAACTACGGTTCAGTGACCCCTACATATTATATTGTATCAAGATGCTAAGGGAATTGAACTGCTTGGAATTTCTAAACAGAATGTGTTTATTATTGTAACGGAAAAACTGAAAATAGTTTCTGAAAATAATAAATAACCCATAACATAACATTTCATAATAATATTATATATGAAGTTATTGGCGTCTGTTAACAACTAGTAATATAATAATTCTCATTAAATAGAAATCTGGAATCATATATGAATATGCAACAGTGTGTAAATAAAATAATATCAAAATGTAACCGTTTTGGATTTTTAAAAAAAAAATGGACATGTGTCTTTTAATAAATTGATTTCTTATATTTAAGTGTATTTGAACAATATAATATTCCAATAAAAATTCTAGCGGTATAATCTCGTATTCATCTTTAGTAATAATTGTTATAGTGAAAGATTATTCATATCAATAATGTAAGGAATTTTGCTTAGTTTGACTTAAAATATCACTGACTGTCACAAGTAATGAACATGTAGATTAAGTTTATGAAATAAACTGGTAGTAAATGTGTACAACAATTGCCTTGAGAATAAAGTAAAGGTGAAGCCTTGAGGGAGGCAAAGTATAAAAGTTTAGAATAGGGAGCTCAATATATATTAACTATAAAATCTAAACAAATTAGTAACGATATTCGCCGTAAAAATTCTTCATAATCGTTTTTAATTATCGTCAAGTTTTTGTGAATGACTCAAATTAGTCGCACAAAAAATTAAAAATGCAGGAAGTGGATATGATAAAAAAACTGAAGAACATTCCCACGCTCGGAGTTACAGATACATATTTTTTATAAACATATTATTTTGTTACACTAACCACACAACTCACAAGGTTAATTCTTATGAGTATTATTTTAAAATGAATTGACTCAATTAAAATTATACCATACTCCGCTAAGTTTATAACTTGTAACTGAAGTTGCAAATTAAATTACAAGACTTACACAATCAGCAAAAGTTTCGGGCTTAGATATCTGTAAGGTTGTAATTGAATTTCTTCGTATATTAGAAGGATGGAAACTCGTGTTAGTATAATAAGATTATAAAGTTAAAAATATTACCTATAAAAGAATTAACCCTTTGTTTAAACAATGAAAATGAACATTTCAAATTTGAATATTTAAAACATTCAAGATTCTCGGTGGGTAATGTCGAGATTGGTGAACGAAGTTATAAGATCTCTTAAGTACAAGTATTTTGTTAACAAAGAAGATTCAAATTTGAAAACACAAAAATAGAGTAATTTTAACAAAACTGCACTTAAATGAGGATAATTTACCATAAAACGGAATTGCTTCCTTATTTTTAACTGCCATTGCAGAAGTCATTTATATTTTACTTCAAGAGTTAAGAAACTAATGGACGATTTAATTTTTTTTATGAAGATTCCGAACGTTTCCAAGCGGTTACATAGATTAAGGATAAGTTATTACTTTTTAATGGTACATTTAGGATTGGCAAATATATAGTTTTATGCCTTTAGAAGTAAAAATTTGTGTTATATATTTATTAAAGATGTGAACTATTGGTGAACGTAATAGTACTATCCTACAACAACGACAAACAAGATGTCTCATGATTCATATAAGGTACCTTGTTACTTGCGGTCGCCGTTTATAGTCCATATAATAAAATCACTAGTTCAATAAAATTTGGTTGCTTTTCAGGAAATAAAATGCATTTATTTTCCAGTTTTATTTGTGTCCTGAGTTCTCTATATTACTTTATTAGTTTATAATTTATATCAATAACACTTAAATATATTTAATTTATCTGTAAATTGTATAATTCAATATAATATAAAATTGTCATGTTGTTACGGAATAATTACACAGCCGCTTAAAAAAATATAAAAAAATAAAACTGACCTAACTTATAATTAACTCTAACTCTTTTAAATTATTAACATATCAAAAATTTAATTAAATACCATTTACGCAATGCTTAATAATTCGATAATCTGAGTTCTTACTAACTGAAATCTCTGGAGGTATCATACGTTTTTGCGTAATCTATCAGTAATTAAATTACGGAGCTGATTTTATACAGATGGTATTTTTGTGCCATATAGAGCGTTATGAAGATATATAAGTATATTTATTTTGTTAAAACATATGTTTTAATGGCAGAGTCGAAAAGGAATCACGAAATACATAAGTTTAACTCAAAACTAGAAAACTATAAGTGTTTCAATACTTTGGTTAAATTACATTATAATATATATGTGTTATCTTACTAAGTTATTCTTTTCAACTAAAAGCTTGATCACACTAAAGAACGCTACGTTATGCACACACACACACACACACACACACAAAAAAAACACAAACACGCACACACACTCGCGTATGTATATATAATATGTATAGACTTGTATAGTAGAGCATATAACCGTGGCCAATTATTTTGATTTACAATTATTAATTAATGTAAACGAAACCGTATTTGTCTCGAGAAAATTTAATTAAACGAGACTTCTGAGTGTCCTTATTGTTAAAAATTAGGGACCTTAAAATTTTATTCCATTATAACATTCCAGATATTAGGAAGCTTTTGAATAACGATATATTTGGGACTAAAAATTAAGTAATTTGTTTACTATGTGATGTTTTGTTTTGCCTTTTGTCTGACTATTAAGCCTAGGACTATTTTCCACAACAAAATATATTTTAATTAATTGAAAGTTTTTGAGATGATATATACCGTTTTCATATATTTTCTTTTTTATATAATTTAAACTATCTATTACTATATTTCCCTAGTAAAAAGTTTTTTTTTTTTGCACATTTTATATTTCTTCAGGAATACCGTAGCTCTTAATGAATTCCACAAAAAATGTTCATTAAATTGGGAAATAAATTGTGGTAAAGCTCAAATCATTAAGCCTATAAATCAATCTGACTTATCAGAAATTGAATCGCATCGAATCAAAAATTTGTCTTCAACAAATACTTTGTTCTTTGTTGAAAACAAAGGTTTCAGTGACTCTTTAATCAAGTTGCCGATTGAATTTCTTTCGGGAAGTTCTTTTCGATAACAGGATTAAGGTGAAAGTAGTTTTTTTGTACTTTATTAGTTAAATTTCAAACTTTTTAATAAGATCGATTATATTGTATATATTTGCTGTTTTTTTAAATTAATGCAAATGTAAGAAATGCTTGAAGTACAGTCGGTTTTTCCTGAAAATGTTTTTACTACAAGAATATAAAATATTAAAATATTCTTAATTAGTTTCCTTAAAATTTGTGATAACATTGATTATTTTAAACAGTTGGCTTTAAGAAACATTTTAAAGTTTTATTATTTTCTATTAATATCTTTCAACATAGTTATAGATTAATATCGTAGTCCATTAAGCAAATAATTCTCAATAGTTTAGATCCAATAGAGTGTAGGTTTGTGCATTGTACATAGTTACTAAGATTCAACAAACTTGAGATTCGTGACTTCTTCATGCTTGCAGAGATTAATGCTGTTTGCAGTCTTGTAGCAACATCTTAAATAATACAGTATTCTACAACATTATTTACATTTACTTACAAATAGTTCAATCGGATGTTTTTTAGATTCTATATAGAACCTCAATAATAATTGTTATTTTTTTAAATATAACAACATGAAACAAACGCTTTTTTCATAATGACGAGTATGATCCAAGATTCATGAATGAATTACAAATACATATATGCATTAGGTATATTTATTTTGATGAAACGTCGCGGTTGGTGTAGAGATAATCTTTCATATCTTTCCAAAACTAAAAACGTATCTGTGTGAAAATTAATTAAAACCTATTCCGTTTTGTAAATCCTATATGCTCGACGAATTTCGAACACACCAACGCTCTAAACAAACAGTGGCTGAATGAAAAGCGAAACACATTCATCAATCAAATCACGTTCGCAATACATTGCTGTAATCATTCACTCTTTGCCCGCGGCCATTCTGTTTTCGAATTCATTCACTTGGCTATCAGTTTATTTTTATTTTCACCATATGAGGGAAAATATTATATTGTTCAATACATCATAAATCCCTTCTGACACTCAGCACCAGATTAATTCCGCTGTGTGATTTACGTAATTTATGTGTTTATATTGATAATAGAAAGGGGAGTTTTTTAAATATATATTTCGTATTTATATGATAGGAACTCGAGAGTAAATTAAGTACTTGATCTCAATATATTATATGAGTTGAGTTTTTCTTGTCAACAGTAACCAAAGAAACGGTATCTTCAAGTACTATCTTTTACCTCTTAAAGAATAAAATCTTTTCTACCTATTTTTTAAGTTTTCTATTTTACCATTAGTTATGATAAGTTAAATTTTACGACCAATTATTTATTTTGAATGTTGACGACCAAAGATTTAATCTTCTACACTTCGATATGTCTGCTAATTCAGAAAGTGGTCTGACGGGAACAAAGGAGTTTACAAACTTTTGGGAAACTTGAATATTTTCTAGTGGCTTACATTTTCTTTATCTCATATAGAATGAAAAGTACCTAAATTACCTTAATTTTATAAACACCACAAATTCTTAATCAGCGCTCAAAAGAGAAGTTATCATATTTTCAATGTACAAATCTACAAGTAATATACATATAAATTTTACCTGCACTTGTATTGTATTGCACATTTAATTTTCCTTGTCGCAAAGTTTTTAAAAATTCAAATGGACTACCAAATTTAAGCAACTTAGTATAAACTTTAACAGGCTTTTTTAAAGTTAAGATTTTTCTAGAATACAAAGGCAAATGAAACACAATGATGAATTTAAAACACGATTTCAACACCAAATATTTCTATTTGCTAGTGGTGAGTTATTATTACTAAAAGGACAGTCGGAATCTTCATGTTTGAATAAAATATGAAAGAGTTTTGTAATATACACAAATGACATCAACGTAATTACAAAAAAAAATGCGTAAGTCCGACTAAAAAGTTTGTTTATGTACTATAATCTATTCTGAAACATCTTAAACTTGACAGTGACATTATACCAAGTTCAGAAAATAGAAAATAAACGAATACCAGTTACCAATAAAAACTCAATCTATTTATAGTTTCTCTTTGAAATTCAACCGATGAATATTTAGAATAGCATCTTTTGATATTATATTTTACAGTATTAGTGCCATTATGAGATCTAAGACTTTTGCGAGTTTTATTCATTTAAATGAAACTAATATTTTTCGGGGAAACGTCTGCCCGTGATCACGGTTGCTGAAAAGTAGCCAAAACGTCGGGAGTATGTAGTTTTTAATAAATATAAGGCCTGCGTAATATATACGAAAAAAAAATAGTTTCTTTTGAATATTAGTGACTTACAATAATTCAACGACAGCGGATTCAATAAAAACTTGGTAAACCTACCGCGTTCAGTAGATCCACTTTTTAACAAAAATAAGCAAACGACGAGAATACAAAATAGATATATATTTGAGAATTCTGTAAGCCTTTTACGTAGTCTCCGAAAAATCTTGAATAAAATTTGTTATTACAATTACTTCAACGAAGTTAAATTTTCTATCTAGGTTTAACTTTCATGAATATAAATGAAATTTCGTATTTTTTGAAACATGAGATTATAATCCTGGCTCCATCTGTTTTAAAATGTTTATTGCTATTTTCTCGGAATTGAAAATTATTCAGTAACCTATTTTTTTTTTAAATTCTGGCGTTAATAATAATTTACGATTGATTTCATAATACATAGTTCCCGTTCCCACTTATTTCAAGAACGTTTTCATTTAGTTTCTAACTATTTTGAAGGTGATTGGTAATTGTTTCTATTAGCGAGTATTGTAAATAAAGGCATATGAATGCTTCATATATATTACAATACTTTGTAACTATCATAATATATATATATATATATTATTATAAAAATTACTACTTGTAATGAAACAAGAAAAAAAACAAGTAAAATATTTATCACGATTACAAAATAAAACCGAGGTAATGTTATTTTTGAAATATGAAATCATGGTATTTTCTTATGAAACACACGATTACATAAGACGTCAGTCCCATGCTATATATATATATAGCATGGGACTATCATAATACATGTATATATACATATAAAAATAATGATAAATATTTTACTTGTTTTTTTTCTTGTTTCATTACAAGTAGTAATTTTTATAATTATTATTATTAAAAAATAAACATCCCAATTCAATGTATGTTTAATGAAAAAGGTAAAGGAAAAAATTATACTTATGATTGGAGGATAAATCATAGAAAAATATATTTAGTGTTAAATGTTTGATTCTAGAGAAACCACATAGATATTAGGCACATAATGAGGAACCGTAAGTTATTCTTACAAAAATGGTAAAAATAAGCTTGCGTAGGAAAACTTGTTCTCTTACATCGACATATGTTGGTTCAACAGTTCATAAACTGTAAATATGTTTGTACTGATTTATTATTATTATATCGTTTTTTAAATTCAAAAGTTAAAGTGAATTCAAAATATTGTCGTTCAATTTTCAAACAGTTGGTTATTTTTCTGTTAAAACTATACCAGCTTTATAGCCAGCATAGTTTCTATTCGACATAGTTTCTAACTCTCTATCTAGCCTAAAGTTTTGCAGCAGACTGTATCTGAATTATTTTGATTTATAAAATGTAAACTGTCTGTCATACATTTCGTGTAAATTAAATAATAATAAATATTTTTTTGCAATTGAATCAAATTTACATTGAGTCGATTATAAAAGAAAACGATTGTCAAACCCCGATCATGTCTTTATTATAATAAAAAATAACCATTCAGGGAATTACGAAAAATTTTATTACTCAAACAAGCAACTTCATATTTAAATCATAGTTTTAAGTGAAAAATATTTTATCTCGGTTAACAAAGGGACTCAGCGGTGCGTTTAAAAAGTTACCACTTCATTAAAATTGAGTTGAAACGAAAAAGTCGGACATGAGAGGCCTAGTTTTGAATAAAAACACTTTTGAAAAATTGTGTCGTTATACAATATTGCTTCAATTGTATGCTTTTAAAATATAAAACAACTACATATCTTGTAACTTTTTTATTATTAATCAATGACCATATGATATTTCAGCAGACTTAGTGAAAAATGTGCTTATTAGCATACAGCGTTTGCATACATTGAAATAGGTGTATGAAATAATTTTAGTACAAAAATTTTCTACATCGGCAATTGTCCTTTGTCCTTCAAAAATAAGATCCGAATAAAATCTATTAAGGACATAAAATAACGTAATGACATATGTCAGGTACTTACCTCAACAAAAGTGTCAGACACAAATCTCTGAACGAGTGATGTTTTCCCGCATTGAGTGTCACCCACAAGTACTACTTTAACCTCCTCTTCAGTGGGTGTACCAGCTCCTCCCTCTGAACACTTCTTGCCTGACCACATGGCGCTCTGGAAATAAATACAACTGTCTATCATTTGAGTTAAATACATATATTTATGAATATCGAATATGTAGATAAAGAAAGAGGAATTTGGGTCTTGTAGGAAAAACTAAATTCTACATAGTATTATAATATTTAGGTTACCAAAGATATTTTTATGTTCAGAGATTTAAAAAGGACTGATAAGTTAACTGACCTGTCCTTGAGCACTTGTTAGTTTTTAAATAAGCAGTGACCACTTTGCTATGCTTAAATTAGTTGTGACTTGTTTGGTAGGTATATTTTACCTAACGAGATAATTATTTTAATCTTAACCCAACCTCAATTCAACCATTAATATAGTATTGAGTGGAAATTAATATTAAATCAAAGATTAATGTCAAAATCATACCAATTCTTAGCAGTAAATAATCCTATAGATTCTTCGTAAAGGAAAAAATCGATTATATAACAATAAGGGGAACAAATTAAATGTCCTTTAAGGTAGTTCAAAGTTAATAGGATCATAAGAAAGTGAGATAAAATCTCTCTAGGCTCGTAAATCCATAAGAGAGGGAAGAAACGATGACTCAAAATTATTTTTATGAGGTAGTAGGGTGAGCTAGTTATTGTTTTACTGCGGATGGTACGTTTTTCATTTAACAAATAAAATTCAGTTTTGCTAGTATTAAAGCCGACTTTTTTTATATGACTCACAATTTATGACCATAAATCGTTTTAAATTTTTATGGAATAAAAATTATCAATATACATTTTATACTTGAAATAAAATATCATATTTTGGACATATACTCGTACAATATATACACATGTATTTTTTGTCCCTGTTATATGCATATATATATATTATCATTAGTCATAAAATATTTCACGCCAGCTTACGTAGAAGAAAAATTTTACATTAATTTGTACTACTATATTATTCCTGTTTGCCCTAAACTCATATTATTTTGTTGGTTTCAAAACTTCAACTTCTGAGAGAATACAATAATAAATTGTGTTAAGTTGTTCGAGTAAGTCTTTTTAATATAACGATTTGCTTTTCAGATTTTGTTTTTAACGTAAGCTTTTTATTTCTATTAACAATTGGATCGAAAAATTTTATAATAAAGATGACAAATGATAACATTACATATCATTAAATATATATATATATATATATATATATATATATATATATATATATATATATATATATATATATATATGGTATTGCGATAATCAGTCACACCTGTCTCTTGAAATATTTAAAAAATATTTAGAGGATGAAATATATATTTGATTAATTTATAACTTAGAAATTTGTTTTGAAATAAGCGGGGCTATAAAATGGACAGTTATTTAAGTAATTTGTTTAATATGGTATATATTGTACTCTTAAAATTACATTAACTACAAGTATTCGTATCGACTCGTTTATGTCTGCATAACGACTGAGGTATACAACTAAATCTCTCTACAACCTACTAAAAGACTTTAGCCTGTCCCGAATTAACATCAAATCATTCGCAACACGTAGGTACTTCGAAGGCAGCCCTAGTAGGTTCGGTTCGAATAAGGTTAAGCAGAAAGAGGAGCTTGGACGGTGGAGGTAAGCGTGTAACGCGCGTTAGATAGGGGTCCCTTAAACCTACACCTGGGTCGCAAGTCCTAGGAATTGTTGACCTCCTCTCCCTGCAACGCGATGGACCCGGCACCCGATGGTGAATCCATGGAATGCTGAGAGGTTTCGTCTTATTTTTTAGTATTCATACATTATCTTGTACTCTTAAGATTTTAAGCGTTTTTGTATTATTGAAATTTAGGCTTATAAGTTACATATATTTTTTATATTACACTCAAAAGACAATTTTATACAGTGCTAATGTGACTATATTTAAATTTAAATCTCTACATATTACGTAATAAAATGTTCCACATTTATTACAAATTACAACAACTTATAGACTCACAATAAAAACGACGTATTATATGTGTAAAAACCATAGAAATATTAACTGTTATAATTTTTTAAATTGAATATGAGAATATTTTTAAATAAATTCTAATCAATATGTATGATATTCTTTGCTATTCCAAATTATATGTAGCGATATACTTCTTTTAAATATAATAATAGAAATAAACAAATAGCTCATTAAAAATAAACACTAAACGAAACGGTCTGATTGAGGCCATAATTCTATCTCCATTTTGAAGGAGTTTTCGTATTGAGTTTAGCAACTTTCCTTAAAAATGAAATAGCTTGTTTACCCTCTGTGCTTCCAAAAGTTGGGACATTATCTTTAATAAATACCGGCCCAGGTTTCTGTAATGCTTTTATTCTTTATCTGACAGACCCCCATAATATTCTGGAAATGGTAAAGCTATATTTTAAAGGAAACATTTCTGCCTTACTGTATTTAATAAAATTATGTTATGAACGAATAAATTCAGGACTTACGCTCAATGAAAACGATATTTTACTTAACATTTTTCTCTGACTATAAAAAGAAGTTTGAAAATTTTTATAATTAATTCAGATCCAATTAGTAATGAACCCAGATAATTAATCCAGACTTAATAAATAATTTGAGATTAAATTTAATTTTGGTAGAATTAAAACTATGAGTCTATTAAATATAGTTTTGTATAGAATATATAAGTACATTGTTCCCTCTTCTTAGCAGATAATATACGACACTTTGATCAACACCGTACAACAAAGCGTCTGAACTATTAAAGTCGTATAATTATTTCAGTAAATGAATCTATTAAAATTGTTTCTTTGTGTCAAAATGAATTAAATGTAAAAAAACCTCTTAAAGAAACAAGCAGTTCGAATGAGCTAAAAAAAGATTTTACTTGAAAACTTTCTTTTTACTCGTAACTTCATTACATATATAATAATAATCATGTTGTGAGATTTACTTCTGTGAAACAAATGAATTATTACTATATATATACACTTCAAGTGATTGATTTTATTTATTAATATTTTCAAACTATATAAAAACGGGAGCTTCAATATCAATTACTAGTACGCCATTTTGGATATGCCGCCATATTGGATTAACCATGACGTCATAATGTCAACCACGAATTATCATCCTAAATGAATGTGTTTACAAAATACAAGCTCAATAGAAGATAACTGCTTTAAAATTGTACAGAAAAATTTCATTGCTAAAAGTTTACAGGCTATTATATACCTTATATAATAGCTTGTAAAATTATGACAAATTATTTTTATTTATATAATCTTTTATATTGCATTTTAACTCAGTAATTTTGCGTTTTAAATGTCACCTTGGACGAATTTAATATTTTCTTTCAGTGTTGTTATCTGTTCTTTCGTTGATTGAAAAACCTCTAAGAATGATTGCAAAAATTTAATTTGGGGTATATAGCTGTGATCGATTTAATTAAAACGTTGGTTGATTTTTAACGAGAAGATATCAACGTCTTTAAGTAAAATATTAATATTATTACTCACATAAATTTAAACTATTGGATCATATTACAATTATAAATATGTATGTTGTTTTCTTTTGTGTATGCGTGGCCTTACGAAACTCACAGTTTTTATTTTGGTTGCTCTCATATTCAAATAACATAAAAACTTTGTTTAAAAGATTTTTAAAACGTTCCTATCGCATAGTACAAAGTTAGCTTAGTTTAAAATCTGGTTTGTTATAATATCTAATATTATAAGCATTTTAAATAAAATAAATGAACCAAAGCGACATTATCAGTATTATGTGTAACGCATCTCCTTGGAGCGACGCCAAAGAGCTAAGGAAATCCGGTGCAGAGCCATGTTACCGAAGTATTTCAATTTGTTTATGTGTTTTACTAAACAGAATGTAAATAGACATGTTTTTAAGGTATACATCCACATTAATGTCTTGTTTAACCAGTCAGCTTCCGTTTTTGTAGATCAGTTCATTGACCTTGCAGTGAATTAAGATTGAGAGATAATTCTAAAAGTACTTTTGATACCTTAATTACTAGAACGTAGGATCACGAGAATGGTAACAATGATCAAGGGTGAATATTAAAATGGAATAAAAGCGACAAAGAAACATACAATTGTTTATAAGTATAAATAAATTATTTTTTATTGATCTCAGATACTATGTTTCCAGTTATAGATTATATATGTTGTTTTGTAGCTTACTATTCATGTATAAGTAGAACTCATTTGTCCGAGTACGAAAAACTTGGCAGACACAAGAACTCAAAGCAAGGGCGCTTTTAAAAATGTGTCGCTAAAATAGAATGGCTTAGATTTTCAGCATTGTTTAAAAATCTAAAAAGTAACTAAAATGACTTTTAATAAATAAACTATTCTAAAATCACAAGCAGTGTTTAGGAATCTCACTCAAGTTGTAATAACTTATTTGGGGTTGTAGTCGTAAAAGTGTTTACAATATTGTACGAGAATATGAATTGCGATTTTTATTTCATAAAAATCAAGTTAGGTTTTCAAAGCAGGATCCTTGAAACTACTTCTTCGAATGCGTAGAGATTTAAAGTTTAGAGATAAAAAGGACAAAATTTTTCTTAAACTTTGTATTTTTTTATGAGATTCAACACAATAAATATTTTATATAAAAAAAATATCTTACGGCAATAACAAAATAGGCTGTCTTCAAATAAGAATAGAGAGGAGATACTTAATTTTGGTAAAAAAAAATACAGTCATATGCTTCTGTGGTTTAAAACATTTTGAATATGAATTTGAAGTATAAAAGACAAAAATACTGAGCGTCGTAAGTAACCATTTCGCTTACATTGTTATAAATATGATAGATTAAACGCTTGTTCGTTTATGGTGTAAAAATTAATTATATAACATTATACCCGGTGACCGTTCAACGCTCTCCAGACTTTCACGTTTTATAGTTTTTATCATTCCTAACCTAGGTTTCCGTGGCACTGTAATTGATTAATAAAAATATAATATGATAACAACATATTTTTTCAAAAGAAGTTTTCCCAAACACATATTAACTTATCGAATTTCCAACAAAACCTTTAACATTAAAAATATAACTAAAGAAAACTTTTCTAATAAGTCGGTAACTGATTCTTCGATGTATTAATAAAATGGATAGACATATTTTCTTATAAAAAAAAAACATTGGATTAAAATCAGAATAAGATAAAAATCAAAGCAATTCTTTTTAAATAAACAAATAAAATTTTACACGTTTGAAAGTTATTATTTAATTCGTCAGAATATTATTTAATTCGTCAGAATATAGTCCCTAAGCTATAAAATTTTCATATATACTATTGTCATACTGTAATTCTGTTTTATACCAAGTTGGATAGAATAAAAAAGATAAAACATTTCATTACTCATATTGGATTATATTGAGCCGTATAAATACTATCCATAAAAACAAATAAAAATCTGTCGTAACTAATTGAACACTTTGGAATTTCAATTTCCAACAAACGGAATCGAGTTATCAAAATTTAACGCTCAATAAACAGCCGCTGTTACGTTTCATGATATATTCATTCAATTCTATTCCTTATTCTGTATACTTATGAGCTATAATTGTATAAATATGTTTTAATGTTTCCTAGTCAAGACCATAATAGAATTCCTGTATAAAGTGAGTGTAAAGAGCAGTTGGAGAAATTTGCCCAAAATCAAATTAAATCCTAGGTTCAACACATTTATCTTATACTCGTATGCGCATTCCAAATATACAGCTACATTAGTATGTATAATGTACATCGAAGGTCTCTCGAGAGGTTTGTGTTAATTTAGAATTAAATACACTTATTTCGTACTCAATGTTTCCTAAGTCGTATTCTATCTAAATTAATAAAATATAAGCCAGGTCTAGAAAATAATTATTGTAACGTTTTCATTTTCGTATCTAATCTGAAAGTGAAAAATTGTTTGATATTGAACAAAACTCAAAATTAATAAATATTTTTTTGTAGACACTATTGCAAGATAAAATAGAAAGATTATTTATCAGTAAATTCTTAGTAAACGCTTGGCATTCGCTTCACCTCCTTCCTATGCTGTATCCTAACAGCTTTCTGCCAGTACCTTAAAAGGGGTTTTCTCATAAGAAACAAACTGGACAGGCGGCCAATAGCTCTCTCGAGTACTAACGATTAGACGAGCACAATTTGTATTTGAAATACAAACAGAAGTTAGTACAAAAATTCACATATATTAATCGTTTTTTTTTTAAGATTTTTGCTTAATTTTTAACACCTTTTTCATTAAAGAAATATGAGGTGTTAATCCGAAACAGATTGATAAAAGGTAAATGTAATATTATTGGGACTATTGTAACTAAAAATATTTAAACAATGAGGTAATATTTCATCTAGTTATAGAATATTAATTTGCATAATACTTATTTAATTTTGCAATATTTTTTTGTGAGTTGGTCGTTTCTTTAGTTTGCAATCGATATTTACTTACTTAATAAATTAAATGTTGTTTTAATAATATTGGTGCAAATAGTTTTTGCAATATAAGATGTATATAAGTTTTTTGAAGCTTTGCCAAAAGTATTGTGCACCTATTTTTTCTCTGGAAAATTTATTGTCTGTTATGGCAATCAGCTGATCACTTCAAAAATAAAACAGAATTTTAATGATTAAATAATTATAATATGTAAAATAAAATAAACTTTACCACAAGCCGTTTATCTGTCATCAGTTTGGGAGTATTAATCATTATGAACTTTAAACAGGCACATAAATACATTTACACTCGATGAATATATTTAATATTAAAGATTTCGAATATTAGAAAAACTTTATAAGACTCCATGGTTAAACTAAATATTTCTTTTAGATAACAGTATAAAATCAAATAAATTACGTCATACCTAGTCAGTTGGTGGCACTAAAAGTATATAGATAATAAATAATTCGAGTAATACGTTATGACACTGCCTTAGATGCCTAACCTAATATTAATTATTGTATAAATATAATGAGACTTCTTACTCCATGTCACTGGCCACATGTCACACACATAAAAAACCGGTGGGTCAATGACGTCGGACCTGTTATACAAGGAATAAAAATATACCAAAAAATAAAAAAAATACAAGCAATGGAAATAAACGAATCCGTTATTAAGGAGGAGGTTGGAAATTTTTTAACTAGTCTGCAGAAGTTGCTACCGAAGAAAAAGGACTTCATAGTTATACGGAATGACAAACCCACTTTGACAAGACTAAGTGATGTTCACGCGGAGGCAAAGAAAGTATTTCCACAATGTTTTGTTGGTGCCAAAATGGTTATTACAAGGGATGTACTTGAAAAAGTGAAATTGGTACAAAATTATAACTTAGGGAAGTCGAAAGATTCTTACAAATGTTTCTCACAACTTATACATAAGGAAATGGATGAAAAGAATGTCGCAGACGGTTTGTTGTTGGACTCGGCTGGCTCAGCAACAGCAACGTATACTGAAAAGATGAACGATTACGAGATGAAACTAACATCCAAGATAAAAGATTTAGTGTCATCAGAAACAGAGATATCGTTTGAAACGGATAGCAAAAAATCAATAAGGTCCATGTCATTTGCGTTAAAGGATGCAGATCCAAATACACTTAAGGTTGTCACCCAATGGATGTACAAAGTCGCGCCAGAGTTTTGTGTTGGCGGTGAAATGGGATTTAAACCGTTATCGTACCCTTTGTCTCCAGAACTATCGATCAGTGCGAGATACGACAAACCTGCGTTTACTCTGTCATCAACTATCAGTCGGGCCGGTTACCAAGTGTGTTTATTCAAACCATTCACGTCAGATTTGCGAATAGCCACGATTATTAACGAGAACAATCGAGGTGGTTCCGCCACAATAGGTCTCGCGTTGCACAAAAGCTACGAAAATTCTGAATTGAAAATTTTCGTTGACTCGCAACGTTGCGGAGGCTTCACTTTTGAAAAGGATGTTTTGTTCAAAGAGCAGCAAAACGATGTAAGAGTTATTCGATTAATGGTCAGCACGATCATCGATCGCCAGAAGCGAGTACGATGCGGTTTCGGTTTCAATCTAGACTTCTAAATCACGTTAAAATTACAGTCATCAAACCTTTTTGTAGTATTATTTGTTTGTATATAAGTATACATAGGTTTTAGTTATTGTTTACTCTTGATAATGATTGTGATTAAAGTTTAGAAGTGATTAAAATTATTGATATATTATAAGCACGGTGTTTCTTTCATATCGAGGTATAAACTATAAAATCACATTGATACTTCTCTTTTGAGGATGATTCGAATTCAATGAAAGTGTATTGGATTTTCAAAATGTTTCTCAAATAACTCTAATGAATTACCGTTTATAATGAAAACGCTATGTATGGTTGAGAACAGAAAATTATAAGTAGCCACTGCATTGAGCCATGTAATGAGATACTTGCGTTCAAACGATAAAAAGTCATGTTTAGTAGTTGCCATATTTTATCCTTATTTATTTTCTGAAAGAATGCTGGAGTTTTTGACACGACAGTACAAAATTTTATAATAAGTATATATATAGATGGTTTTCAAAAGCAGATAAATATGTAGAAACTTGTAACTTGTAAAGTTGTTAAGAGATACAATTCAAATATTTGACAAGTAACATATTTCAACAAACTCTAAGTCGAAAAATGAGTCAAATTGTACTCGTTAAAACTTTTTCGCGGTTTGAGATTGCTATATTATTTTGTTTGTTATGTTTACTTTGAATGTACCCATTCCACATGTTTAAAGTTTCGGTACTTTTGATAAATTGAATATATATGTATATTGTATATGTATTGAAAACTTTAGAAATATGACCCTTTTATTTTCCCGTTTAATGTTAGTGCGTTTGTAGGTGTAGCTTATCTTAGTTGTTCATAAATTTATTTATCACAATATATAAATTATTCCTTAACTTTATGTTGAGACTATAAAAAGACTTATTTATATTTATAAAGTCATAAATTAAAGGAAAACAATAAACTACATACTATAGGCAGTATATAAACACAATTTTTTATCAAATTTGAAAACATAATGTAATTTCTTACATTGTTTTAGAGGTATACAACAAATCGGACCCTCACACTAAAGTTTCTTCTTATTTTTATTGTTTCATACATTCGAAGAGAATTTAATCACGTGTTTTCCTAACCAGTGATCTCGTGAACAAGTTGGGTTATAACATTTAAACTCACTGAAGAAAAAAGACTAACCTTTAAATTATATAAAACAGAATAAAAGAAATACTGGTTTAGAATTTTGATTGAATTGTTTAAATTTTGTTAATATTTATTGTGTATACAAGTATAATTCAATATTTAATTGTTTTACAAGTTTTATGAGGTGGTCTTAAAAATCATGTATTTAATTCGCCGAGTATAAAAAAAATTAAGATATAATTTCTTTGATTTTTAAGTGTCAATGGGAAGGACCGAAGTTACTTTCAAACATTTTCCTAGGTTAAATCATTCAGATTCGGTTTTATTTTATTTAATGGAGCAAAGAACAGTAAAGTAATATAAAAGAGGAAACAATACTATTTTTTCAAATAAATACTTTAATATTTTTAATATGGGCAATGATTATACTTTTCATAATTTACAAAAGATTTTTTTGGAGAAACAATGCAAACACTGGTTACATATAAGAAACTTTTCATTATTGTAGACGATTGTAAGTCTAAGATTATAGGTGTCATTTTGAACTTAATATCAGAGTTCCCAGGACAGATTAGCAGTGTAATAAAATGCTACATGAGAGAATTTAAGCTTCATAAACGAGAGGTCTTCCTATCTTTGTAATTTGAATCATGGACATTAAAAGTCAGAGAAGAGATAAGTTGAATTTTCTTATTACGTCCTTTAAACATATGTATGTAAATGATTTAAGTTTAAATACTACGCATAGCAGCGATGAGGCCATAATGCGTTTGACTTTGCTATTTCAATTCAACTGTCTGCGAAAGTAAAATGGTGAGAGCGTTTTACTATTCACACTCATAAAAGTGATTCTTTGTCTGATGTTCTATGGAATACGGCCCTTATTCAGCTCTCAACATAACTTGACGCTGTTTCTTCTGACATGCTTAATAATATTTTCTACACGGCGTCCTAATTTCAATGAAAATCATATTTTTAATACGAGACACTTTTATGACATTACATAAATCACGGCTTTCTCTTTTTGTCAAATAAAAGTGGCATTTTATATTAAAGTTTACGATGTTCAAGATATAAGAACATTAATCGGGTAATGGTTTTAAGTCTGATTGATGTCTTTTTGTTTAATTGTTGTAATATGAGTATTTACACTGTGGGTTTGAACTGCATTGCAAAATGAACTGATGTTTATTTCACATAAAGTCGCCAACACTAAATAATCCAATGAAGTTATATTAATTTCTACTCTTTCCTACTTGAAATTCTTGAAGCACCGGTCCTCTAAGTTTTCCTTTGTGAACGCTAACGTTGTTTTATTTATTGTCAGTTATTTTTTCTTTGTATTAGTTAAAGAAGACGCGGTCAAGAAATGTGTCAGTTCTTTTGACATTACTGTATCACAAGTTGCCAAAATGTTGCTCTCATTTTCCTTTTTCATTAAATATAAGATTAAAACTTTTTTGCTTCTTATCAGTAGTTAAAAGATTAGTCTGGTATATTATGCAAGAATTTATTAAGTTTTCGTTAAGATGTTAATATTTTTAAGTGTCAGGCAAACGTCATAAAGTAGCCAACGTCCGCGAAAGGAAGTAATGTATAGCTACGTTTAGAAAGTATGTTTTATTACTGTGACCATATTTTCAGTTCCTTGGTAAAGAGTATTGCCCTACAGATCAACAGTGCTTTGAAAAATTTACACACGTCTCCTTTCCTAACTGACTAAATGTAATAGAAATTTAAAAGGAAATGAAATAAGTATAAATTAAAAGCGTAGAAAAGTTACTTGGGAGTAAAGAACACTCTTTTTGTGTATTTATTAATGTATTATAAGATCAGTAAGGGTCTCGTTATAAAAGTACCAGTCACTCCATAATTTAGTGCTTAAATACGTTCGAATCGTAAAACCTATTTAAGAACGTTATTATAATTATAGATATTTAAATTCAATTCGTTTAAAATTATACGGTCTAAGACTTTTGTGAGTATTCATATAAATGAAAATAAGACTTATACATTAAAAATTTAATTGTTTAAACAACTGTTCATTCTATTAGACCATATAAATGCTTCATAATAAATGATTCTTTAAACACTACTACTGTAATATCTTCTTCTACGTTATCTTTATCGCTGACAGTAGTGGATGTTTTGATACGTAATTTCTCCATATTCATTAAAAAAAATAACAATTTCAATTGCTAAAAATATACCGTCCTTGGCAAAGCTCTCAGCATTAGCCTTTTCAATATAAAAACGTCCTAAATGTATACCATTGACCTAAATAAACACCACTGTTTATACAACGCTGTTGAATTTGCTAAACCACTTATAATAAGGTAATGGGATATTCCAAGAGAAACGACAATATGAAAACCATCAGATTTTGTAAGGGAATATATTAGAATATTTCTCTTTATTCCTTCCCTCAATATTTGGGTTTCGCGTTGGTTATAAAAATAAGGAACAAGTCTACAAAGTTGTTATGAAGTTAATATTTGATTTGGACTTAATTATTATTACGAGTTTTGTAATTCATTTATGAATTTGGGAATAGGAGGTAGAATATATATTCTGTCATCTATATTTTTCAAAAACTTACTTATATTTTATAAAATAGAAAGTTAACCATAATTATTGTAGGTGTTATTCATTCATTTTTTGTGTAGGTTAAAGCCAATCACAGATTTTCAGACTATTCTTTTGGGTTTTTGTCAACCGTAACTGGTAGTGTCCCACAGGAAAGTTGTGTATAATGAATATGTACATAATCCTTGTAACACTGCTGAGAAAATGCAATAATTATGTCTACGAAATGCCATTAGATTTTCTTGAATCAAATACAAATCGTTTTGTAGAATTAAACTCAAATAAGTTTCTAAGCGAGTCTATTTTTATGTGGTACGTACCATATCTCTTCCCATTTGATGGGTATGGATGGTGTTATTATGGTTTATGATAAAATATAGCCTTTTATATAGCGACTCTATTGTGCCCAAAATGTAAATATTACGCGAAGAGAAAAATTCCCCGGCGTCATGTAAAATTTCATTGCGAGAATTTCGAACTAGACGTTTTGAAAGGGAAAAACATTTTTAGCTTGGAATTTTGTTTAACGTTTTTCTTATTTTTATTGTTAAGTTGCATTATCCGCGAGGCATTTCTACAGCTATTGTGGTATTACGTTTCCTCGCGAACCTTTTTGAGTAACTTTTATTTATATATAACGACTTTTTCTCGTTAAGAGAAAAGAAATTTTAAATAACATATTTTTTGTTATTAAAACCCGCCTAGCGTAATAACGGTAGTAGCAGTTTGAGGCATTTTTCTTTGTGAACAAATAAACATGTCTTTGTTTTAAATAATTTTAATTGTATCATTGACGTAAAGACAAAATTTTGACGAATGTAAATGTGCCACAAAAGCTTATTGAGACGGCCACTATCATAAATTGTAAGCCCCCTTTATTAATTTCTCAGTAAAAACAAAAACAGCTGTTGTTTATATGTAGATAATTTCATTTATAATAATATTTAAGTTACTTTAATTTACGACATCCTAAACGTATTACGTCTGTCTAAAGATATTTACTTGAAAGCAAATTTTTTAATCAAAATTTTTGTTCACAGCTTGTGGAGATAAATTGATAATTTATAAGATACAGTGGGCTTAACGCCAACTTGTCCAGACAAAATAAATGTACCCAGAAATAGAATTAATGATCATTTCCATACGCCATCTGCGTACGACTCACTTTGGTGATTACCTGAAACAAATAGAGGTTATTACTCAGTGGAACTGTCCTTGTTTATGTCCTCAGCCATCTCTTAGATATTATTATACCGGTACATGCTTTGTTCGAGATGAAATACTATTTATCCTTTGTGTGACACCAGTG